GAAAATTAAAAGTATTTATTTAATGGTATTTTTGGTCTGGGACACACAAAATGTCAAACTGTAATTTATGAGATTTAATTTGTCTCAAATTAGAATGATTGGGTAATAAGTTATTTAAATTAATACAGTAAACTCCCGATTATCTGTGCTAATGGTGGGGAGAGGTGGCACAGATAATCCAGGAACACGGGTAATCCGAACTATAATTATTTATTTCTAAAATACAAGATGTAGATTCACCTTTTTCAATTTTTCAATTAATGTTAGTTTTTGTTTTATAGTAAGTACAACTTTCTTTCAATTATTAGGCATTTTAAGGGTACTTATCTGAAAATTAAAAAAATAATATTTCATGTAATTTTACACTAAAAGTATTTGTCAGAGAGTTATTTGAAAAAAATATTATGTATAATATGTATTATACATAATATTATACATATAATCAAATCTTAAATTGTAATGCATATTATAACATGCAACTAAACGAAACTTTGTATAAATGTACTCACTATTATTTTCTCCTCCGAAAAGAAATGTTTGGCACGAAAGAAGTGGCCTAACTAAAACCAGTCCAGCTGACTTCAGATACTCCCACCACCTGCTTCAAACATCTAAATATGAACACGTATACACTTATAGGATGTGTAAACATGAAAGCGAGCAACTATTTAAAAAATACATTCACATATAATTATTTTTTAAGAATCAAATTCATGCACGGATAATCTGCGCATGTATAATTGGGAGTTTACTGTATATATATATATATGTAATATTTTATAATCTATATTATTATTATAAAATATAAAAGAAAAGAAACTTTGTGTTTCAGACTTCAGAAATCTAGGCTTGAAGCAAAAACAACTATTTTAGAGCTTCAAAGTGAAATAAAGCAAAAAAATTATGAACTAGATAAATTATTGGAAATACATAAAGAAACATCTCTTAAATTACAAGACCAACAACTTGAAAATGAAAAACTAACTGCAAAATTAGAGGTAAAATTTGAATTAAATTTTTATAAAATAAAATATATACAATTATAATTAACATATGATTTTATGAAGATAAAATAGAATGATGAATATGATTTATCATCAAACTATTGAATGCTAATATTAAGCAATAATTCATTACATTACATTTATAATAAAATGCAGTTGGGAACACCCTATCCTATGAGGCTATATGATTGATTATACTTTAGTAAACTATTGAATATTTTAATATATTTTAACAGATGTATATTATAATAATAACTATAGCACATTACATATCAAAAATAAGCATCAAAGCTGTAAAGTAACCAAATTGGTAAATCTGAAAAGATGCTTCAGATAATCATTACCTGTTAGCTGCATAGGCATTACTATTGGCATAGTAATCACATTTATCACTCAATCCTATCTAAGTTTTAATGAATACATATTTATGAAAGTGGTCATTAAAATGCACTGTTGTTAATAGAATCAGCTATAGATGACTGTACACAATTTCTTTTATGCTCTGCTCCATAATTTTGCTTTATAATTATTATATTTATTGTATTAAAATATGAAATGCAGTATCTTTATATTTCATATTTATATACACATTATTTGTTGTAATTTGTGCAATTACATATTTGAATTTTAAATTGAAGTTCCTATACTTTATTAGTTATGCTGTTTGAAAAAATTAATATGTAAAATATTATATTTATTTAAATTTTAATTAGTCAAGAAAACAATTTTTTTTTAAATGTAAAAATAATATATAACATTGTGTTAATGACTTTTGTTTATTGAAAATAGCATAATTTCTAATAATTTGATTTCTTACAATTCCTTTTAATTTAGTTTATTTCATTAATTTTGAATGCCACTTTTTAGTGGCTTCAAAGCATCCCAAACAACAATTCCCATTAAAATTTAACAAATACAAATATCCTTGGCCAAGTAGGATTTGAGCCTGTGATCTGGAAAATTAGAAACAATGTCTTACATATTTGTTCATCAGATTGACATATACTAAGACAAAAATATTCCTAAAAGTATTTGGCATTATTGCTTTTTACTCTTTTGTGATGGATAGTTCAAATTTATATATATTTTGTATTTTAGAAAATTTAAAGGTTTTATTGAAATTTAATCTAGTTATATATTGATTGGTTATGTCTGAAAGCTTTTGTGGTTATGATAATTTAAAATTCAGCAAAATGCATTATAATTATTATCATTATCTTTTTGATTTATTATGATATTAAAATTGTATTTTTAAGTAATATACATATTTTTTAATTATAGGCTATTAATTTAGAGCTTCAATTAATACAGCAAAAACAAACTTTATCTGAACAAGTACTTGAAAATAAAATGATACAGTTAGAACAATATAAAAAATTAGAAAAAGACTTAGATGAAATTTCAGAAAAAATTAATAAAGGTAAGAACCAGTTTGTGACAGATAATTTAGAAATGATGGTAGTCAATAAATTATTTATCTTTAGTTAAACATTATTTAGAAATTTATGTTTTTTAATGATTTAAATCATTTAGAGTATAAATGTGACATTTGTATTATTGATTGTTTTATTTATAGAAAAGTTTTAAAAGAAAATATGATCATTAATATTTTTGACATTTTAAATATCATACTGTTCATGGGTGTAGCGAGGGGGGCCTAGGTGGGCACAGCCCCTCCCAGGGAACCTGGTGCCCTCCCCAGGAAATCACAGCCGAAAAAGTGTTGAGTCGATTTGTAAAAACTTAAAGCTAAAATAAAAGTTTTGAATACTAAAAAAAGGTGAACGGCTTGCTCGGTGCCCTATAATGAACAAATAATTTGAAATAATTCAATTTTGTGTCAGGTTGGCCTCCACTAGGCCCCCCATAACAAAACTCTGGCTACGCCCATGATACTGTTATAGTTGTACTTTTTAAATTTTAATATTTCAAATTAAGTCTTTCATGTTCATTTTTTAATATTTATTTATTCAAGCATACTGGTGCAACCATGATGCAGGGACAAAACAGACAGAAAATCGTACAAGATCATATAACATATTCATTAATATAAAACAAATATATACAGCTTATAACTAAAACACAATAGTAAATCAAAAATTAAATTCATTCTAAACCTAAAAATGCTGAGAACTATCCAAAAAAATAAAATATATAAATACAGTCAACCCCCTCTAACGTGGGTTCCTATAATGGAAATTCCTATAACGTAGTGAAAAAATTGCGGCAGTATTCATATAAAGGGACTCGTAAAACGTCGCCGCCGATTCGTGTCGGGACAAGATTGGTCAAACCTGGACCAATAATGGATGAGCAGCCGAACTACTTTCTGCCATCCAGCGCCACGCTACGGAGAGTTTAGGCGAGTAAGTTGAGTTTACTATCGTCTGTACAGTATGTAAATTACGTACCGTAAGTCTAATACAGCACTAATTTTATACATTTCTTGTGAAAGAAACGTTTCTTATTCAACAGCCATAAAAATTATTTCTATTAATGATGTCTCCAAAGGTCAATGAATTTTTCGCAGAAAAATAATTTATCAGAAAATGCGGCCACCATTTGGTGGGCTGCTTCGCGACGAAAACAAGCGTAAGCAACCGCATAGTCGAACGGTGCACACTCGGTAAGTAATCCTACAATTTTTTGTTTATAGCATAGTTTATACGGATTATTCCCAAAAAATTATGCGTGTTTTGGAAATGTTGAGTTGAATTAGTTTAGAATTGGTTAATTTTATAGAAGAAAACCTTTCAAACAGCCTTAGTCCGTAAACTTCACACGTGTCAGGCTGTGATTGGCTCATGTATTTAAGGATTCCTACAACGTAAATTCTTATAAAGTGGAATGTATCTAAGCATTATAGGGGGTCTACTGTAATTACCAGAAAACTAGGCTATATCTTACCTAGAAAATGAAAAATAATCAATTTAGTCTCATATTCACAAATCAGATTGTCTCCCATTTTTCAATATTTCTCAAAATTAAAATGTATAGAGATTAAGCATATATAATCATAATAAATAAAATGATCCAAAATGAACATAAGAGGTCTGACACAAAAGTAACAAGACTAACTCTAACTTTAAAACTAACAGTGAAAAGGAAAAAATATAAAGACTGTTTGAACTTGAACCTTACTCTTTCAATGAGAAAAGTTTCATCTTGTTTGCTTAACTTAGCAGCAGTGGACAAGTATTTTAGTACAAATATGTTTTTGCACTTGATTGGAGAATGTCTGGTTCAAAAATAAACAAAAAATCAAGTTTTTTTATCAAACTTAAGAAATCTGTGATAGAAATCTTTCAATTGTTATTACTGGATTATTATTTAAGTTGTCTACTCTGACTTATTTTATTAACAGGACTTATTATANATATTTGTTTATTGTTATTTAAGGATTTCCCTAAGATCATTTTTGTATTAACAGAGATAAATTTAGAGCTGAATATGATGATAAATTAAAGCATGAGATGGATCAAATTCGAAGTAATACTTATCAAGAAGTTCAAAAATTAAAAAATCATATGAATTCGTTTTATGAAAGAGAAATTAGGTAATGTTTTTTTGAAATTTTTAAAATAATAACAAAATTAAAATTATTACTTTAAATTGTTTAATATTGAATATATTACTGTTTTTTTCCTATATAAAATGCACTGGAACAAAAGACATAACTTAGAAAAAATTATTTAAGAAAAAAAAACAACATATAAATGCTGGCCTTTGCATTAAAATTTTATTGCTCACTTGAGGAATGTTCTAAGATTAAGTTTACACTTTTTTAACTTTACAGGCCAATTTGACCAGATCCACAATGAGAGTGGCCAGGTTATTGAAGAATTGAGTCTGAACTCATTAAAATTTGAGTCAACTCTGATGCAACTTTGAGTTTGCATCATAAAAGTACAACCAGCCTGCTACATCTGGCTATCACACATTTTTGATTGTTGAAAAATTTAATAAATTATATAAAAAATAGGTTATAATGTATTTTTGTGGACTAGTTTAGTTCCTACTCAGGAGTTTTTCTTTTCTAATTAATAATAAATTAATAATGTGTATAATAAAGCCTTTTGTTACACATATAAGTGATTTTTATATCATACATAATAGTGAACCAAAAATACAAGATGTGTTCAAAAAGTTTTAGAAAAGGATAAAAAAAATGTTGTAATGTCTTATCTATTGAATCAAGAGTCTGGATAATATCCAACAGTGCATTACATAAACGAGGGTTTGAAAGTGCCAGGCCTGGACTTTGCATGGGTAATAAATATAAATAAAAATCATTATTAATGTGAAAAACCTGAAATAATTACTATACATAATGCAAAAAAGCTATTTATTTGTAAAAGCCTGAATATGTACAATTAAGGAATAACATTTGAGAAAAATCTTGCAAAATATAATAAAGATAATCTATCAAAATTCGAAAAAACAAATACAGTCCTTTGATACAATTATTGGTATGATGTTTTAATAAGATTTTATGGCCAATGACTCAAAAAGAATGATAATATTTACAGGTCTACAGAATGTTGATATTATTCTAGAAGACATCTTCCATTTGTCTTTTTCTGATAGTAAATATAACTTTTACTCCATTTCTTGAGAGAGTACTATTTCCTCCAAAATGTTACAAAGAATAAGAGTAAAGACATATATAATTCATAAGTCAGATATAGACATAAATACTGTAGTTCAAAGACATTTACAACAAATATCACAACCATTTACCATGACCTTTGAAGGTAATTTTGTCATTTTTTTGTACACTCTCTCCTAACTTGGTTAAGTATAATAATTAATAATTAAAATGGTAAAATCATAAAAGACTATGGATACAAGTAGCTAGTATAGATTACTTAAACTTTTTGAATACGTAATAACAAATAAGAATAGAGGTGTTAAAGAAATTATTTCTGATAATTTCATTTATTTATTAAAGATTCAGTAAAGATTCAAATAATCTGTGGTAAAACTATTATTTCATTTTTTGTAAATTTAGATCATTACAAGAATCCAGAAGTACAGTCATTAATCAAAGAAAAGAATTGGAAATTATGTTTGACAAAGCAAAAGCAAAGATTGAAGAACTTTCATCAGAGTAAGTAATTCGGTATATGATTTTTAAAATTTATATGCTAAATGCATTATTTTATTTTAAATATTTCTCTGTTTATTAATATTAATAAGAGATAAGGAGTTTTAATTGATTATAATGGTAACTAATGATAATTATATATGTAATAGATTAATTAGAAACAAGTAGAAATTTATCTACTTGTTTCTAATTACATATTCAATGAAATAAAATTCATGAATAATACAATTCATGAATTTTATTTCTTTAAATTATGTTTTACCTGTTAATAATTATACTGATAGATAAAAAAAATCAATAGTTTTAAATTATGTATTTCTGTACATTGATAGTCTTTAATCTTTTAAAATTTATAATATATAAATTTACTAATATAATTTATTATACAGTACATGTGCACTATAAAGAATATCTTTTTTAATAATTTAAAAATATTAAAGTTGTAAAAAATGTAATATTTAAAAATTAAGCTTTAATTTTTACATTTTATTTATTAGATACTGTCGTATTTAATATTTTATTTTAGTAGCTTCTTTTTTTAATATGACATTTCTATTAAATATTGATAATGTACAGTGCAAGCATACTGAATTTCTGTAACAGAAAATTAAAGATTATTTTTGACAAAATCAGACAAAAATTATATGTAAAATAATAGTTGTAAAAAAATGGAAATATCAATACTATTAAAATAATAAGTAATTTAGTATAACTGAAATATTTATACTAAATAATAAATACATTTAATTTTCTAGCATTTATTCTTATTGTGAACTTGTACCTTCAATCCTTTTGAAAGATCATTTTCAGGTTCAACATATAGTTATATATATACAGTGGTACCTCAGTTTCGGAATGGAAATTAATCCGTTCCGAAACTGAGATCGTATCATGAAAATGTCGTAAGGTGAATCATTTTTCCCCATACGATTACATGTAAAACCAAATAATTCGTTCCAACAGGAAAAACACACTCAAATTAAAGCTAAGTAGTACATTAAAAAATAATAATAAATATAGTAAGGAAAACACTGAAAAATGCATTTTATAGTTGTAAATGTATAAATAACCATAATAGAATAATAATTGATAAAAAAGAAATGTAGTTTTATGCACTTTACCTTTGAGGATAGACAATGGTTGAGATGTAAACTGGTGGTGGGAGAAGGAAAATCATACTAAAACTTAACTTACATAACA